GAGGATCCCACTGAGACACATTGACCGGAGGGTCTTATCTGAGTATAGTCATGATAGGCTACTGAGATATGTGTGGTATTTTGGGGAACTCACTAAACTTCGTGCTTATCGTGTTATGTGTTATGTGTTTCAGGTTTTCTCAAAATCGCGGGAAGGCACCGGTTTGATTGTACACACCAGAGAAAGAGTTACGTTTTGAGGATCCTGGATTATTAATCAAACAATTATGGAGTTGCGTTTTTTAAATTAAATAAAAAATATTTTTGTGAAATGTGTTATGAGAATTATGTGATTTTAAAATAAAAAATTTGTTTGAAAATTTACGGTGTTACACATTTGTTTTCATTTACCAGTCAAAGTAGTTGCATCAAAGTAGGATTCACGTTTCATTTCAGCACGCATGGTTTCCTTAATTTTAGTTAGGTAGTAATTTCCCTTTATATAAATTGTAATCTGCATTGGTCATGAATATTAAGTTGAAAATTGCTCCAAATCATCTTTTCTTAATATGTTTTTCTTGGGAGATTTGTCATCTCAAATTGGCTTGCTATCAATGCCCTTCTAACAAAATGTGCTTTTTCCAATATCTGCATATAAATACCAAATTTTAATATATCCATAATGTAATGGAACGACGAATGATGAATGAGGAGTAGTAATGTAGAATATTGTTGGTTGGTTGCATGAAAGTTGACAGGTTGTTTTCAAGTGCAAGTGAAAGAGGGTAGGTGGGCCAATATAATACTATAACAAATTAAAATAAATGGTATTTTGGTCATTTCACCAATACAAAGAATTTTGTATTTTAGCCATTTCCTAAATATGTAATAGAATTTTGTTACAGAGTTAGTCGGACAACTAGTGTTCTAAAATCCAAAGTTAAAGACCATTCGTGCATGGAAAACTTTCATGAGGGCACTTTGAATGAATAATTTTAAACCACAAGGACCAACCATGAAATTTAGTCTATAATAATAACAAAAGACAAAATAATAATAAATGACAAATTGAGGGTAAAATGATCATTTTGTAAATCCAAAATCTAACTAGCTTTTAACCTTATTGACCGCGGACCAAATTCAAAATCGTTATGAAGCATCTAAATAAGGACCAAACTTGCAACACAATTACTTTTGGGACCAAAACCGAAAAAAATAGCTAAACCCACAGACCAAAAATATAATTTACTCTAAAACATAAACGGATAAACTTGAAAAAACAGCTAAAATCAGGGACCAAAAAAGTCTATATCATAAAGTACAAAGATTGTTAGAAAAAAACTTGAGAAAAGCAAGGTTCTAAAAAGGTTGACATGACGCGCTATGACTCCAAAGTTTGTATTTGCCGCCGCATTTGACAAAATGCAGTTTTAACTCATATATGTATATAAAAATGAATAATAGTAGAAATATATATAAAATTATTAATTATATACAAAATTGCCGCCTTAAGTCACGCCTTACAGACAACGTGACTTGCCACGACTAAAAAAGCTTGAGGGGAGACATTGTCGTCAAGTCATGACTTGTAGGGCTGTAAATGAACCGAACGAACACGGACAAAGGCTTGTTCATGTTTGTTCGTTTAAGTTAGCCGAACAAACGAACGAACACGAACCGATAAACGAACAGAGTTTTCTTGTTCATGTTCGCTCGTTTAACAAATCGTCTTGTTCATGTTCGTTCGTTTATGTTTGTGAACATGTTAAACGAACATAAACGAACAAAGATAAACAAACACATTTGAACATAAATGAACTATGATATAGTAATGTAATAAAAAATTGAACATATATGAACATAAAAAAACTTAAACGAACGAACATAAACGAACAACATAAACGAAAAACATAAACGAACGTTCACGAACGTAAATAAACGAACGAGACCATTGTTCATGTTCGTTCGTTTAACTAAACGAACGAGAATTTGTGTTCATGTTCGTTCGTTTATTAAATAAACGAACATAAACGAACTTCCCGCCGAACAGTTCACGAACGGTTCGCCGAACGTTTTGCCGAACGTTCAGTTCGTTTACAGCCCTAATGACTTGCATTATCTGGATTAGACCATCTGTTATACCCACCACTAACCACTATAGTGGTGCATGCCACGTCATCACCACATTCTCTACTACTAAGCATGTGATACCTACCACTAAACATACCACTCCACCTCATTTTTTTAATTAAATTTAAATGAAAAATACGTAAAAATCATATATATTTTTTAAAAAAAATACTAGCTTTCATTAGTTTAAAATACCAAATTATATTTATTAAAATAAAAATAAAATAAAAATTACATTAAAAATAAAAATTACATTAATTAAAAAAAATAACATTAAAAATAAAAATTACATTAATTAAAATAAAAAAAATAAAAATAACATTAAAAATAGAAAATATAAAATTACCAAGCTTAACTAAATAAAACTATCCTCTATTCCTACGTCGGACTCGAACAGGCTCCTTCATCGTGAGAAATAGCTCTAAATCTTCGTCTTCGTGGTCGTTCGCTTTGATTTTCAAGATTTCCATATCGGTTTTTGTTTGAATCACCGATTGTGTTTCTATCATTTTTTGTTCTACCCGACTCAACATCTCCGCCTTCGTTTCTTAAATGTGCACATAACGATCAAATTTCTCTCCAAATTGATCCATAACACTAGATCCCGAAGCCGTTGAAGCCTCTTTTTTTTTCTTTACTTCTTCCAACGGGTCAACGAAGAGGTTGCTCGTCTTCAAGATTGAGCAGATCATTGTTGATGTCGAAATGTGTTCGCTCGTCCGATTGTTGAGACGTTCCGTCATGGTTTCTTGAACGCTTTGAACCGTAAGATTGTGAACTTCCTTGCGTTTGCTCTTTCCATTTCGGAGCATCTTTCAACTTTACCCAAGGTTTCACATACGGAAAAGCTTTGCGTGTTGGCGTTATTTTTTCAAATTGGTCCAAATCCGCCTTGAAGACATCAAAATCGTTTGCCCCGCTTTTCGTATGCTTAGGAGGTTGTTGTACATTCCTCCAAATTTGGTGCATTTTATTCGAATATCGCACCACTTCGAGCTAATTTGATCGGGATTTCAGCTTTCACTTCCCGTTAGTTCGTAAAACACCGCACAAACTTTCTCCCAAAAACAACCGAACATTTGACTATTGCCTTTGATTGGGTCTTGGGAAGCCGAAATCCATGCCTCAGCTAGCTTTTCTTCTTCCTCTTTTGTCTATGGGACTTTTTCTTGGGTGGTGTTGGGTCGGATCGTTTTTTTTTTCTTTTTAGGTTGAGGTGGTGGTGAAGGTTGAGTTTCTGAAACAAAATCCGACGAATGATGGGTTGTGATGGTTGTAGTTGTGATGTTGTTGTTGGAATTGTTGGAAAGCTTGATATTGTTGAAGTTGTTGTTGTTGGAAGGCCGGGAAAGTTTGATATTGTTGTTAGAAAAGTGTTGTCAGTTGGATAGGGAACCGGTTTGAAGCAAACTGACAAAACCACCTTGAGGTGATTCCATGATCGGGAATTGGCGAGGGGTTGTGTCTAACGCAAAAGCGTTATCGGGTTTGTGATTTCTATGGTTTGGAGGGGTGTTTCGGTTGGGATCCATGGTTTTGGTTGTGAAAATGTTGTGCGTGTTTTGTGTATAGCGTAAGAAAAGAATGGTGTATAAAATAAGGTTTAGAATGGGGTATTTATAGGTGAAAATGGTATATAAAAATTTTATCTAAAAAAAACATTTTTTAAAAAAATTTGGCCGTTCAACGGCTAGTCAAACGGTCAAGGAAGTACTTGAGCCCTATTGGCATTTGGTTTCGTCATTTGGAGAATGGAGAACGGTTCACCACGACAACGACCGGCCGGAAGAGAGTGCACGGCCGTGGTCGTGGTCCAGCTCGTGCCAAGTATACCGGTTGGCCTTAGCAAAAGAGGAAACTATAGGGTCGTACTCTACGTTTTCATGAAACAATACAATACCAATTTAACATATCGAAAAGGATAAACAATTCACAATTCTATCAGATTTTATTGAGAGCTGAAACTCTAATTCCCTCGGTTTCTTATCAACAAAATCTTCAAATATTTCAATTACTATGAAATCCGAGTTTGCTTACGGAAGAGCTACGCCAATCGAATTCCCGTAATGCCAAATGCCTGGTCAAACCCTAACCCCTGAAAATCTCATTATAAATCGGTTCCAAAGAAAAAATCAATGATGATGACCGACCATAGCGATTTTAAAGAAAAAATCGATGATGATGGTTGAAGATGGCTATAAAGGAAGCAGGGATAAAGAACGAGTAAGAAGCAGTCGGCATTTTCTTAACCCCTCTTCCCTATTTTCCTTCAAACTCATAAGAGACAAGTAATACTGTATTTTATAACTATAGTCCGAAGGTACTAAAGTTTGTTCACAGTGTTAGTAACAAAATTTTAACCGGAGTTAACAAAGTGATACCAAACAGTGGAATAGGGACCATCTATAATCAAATCCCAATACTAAGGACAGAGAGTGATAAATCTGTGCAAACCACTGGGACCAAAACTGTATTTTACTCTAAAGTCTATATCATTTATAGCATTGCTTATTAGATAAAAATAAATATATTGTAAAACTGGCTGATTCAAAGGGTGCGCAATGTAGCAAGGTTTCATTTAGTTGGATCATTGTCTTAACCAGAGATTTCATCCATTCGTAATTAATGCGTTTACTTTGGGTCAAAGCTTTAGGAACATTAATTAGGCGTTTACTTTGAGTCAAGCCCTATATACATTATGCTATTGCTGGATACATGAATAATTAAACTGACGAGCCATTGCCAAGTCTTTGACCACATATTCCTGGAAATATCTTTCTAGCTTCTCACTCGTTTGTTTCATTGATATTCTCCTTGCTTAAATTAAATAGAAGTCTTTCTTGAACTCCTATATATGTATATATATCAAAAATGAGTTAGCTCTTATATTGCTAGATCAAGTTAACTCTTCATTTTTTATAGTCTAGCAAGATGGCATTGGAATCTCGTGCAGAACACGCCATGCCATGGGTGGGAATGTATATTTGTATAGCATCTCTGGTTTGCACTCTAGCAATGGTAGCCGATGTCATCCAAGGTTTTCGACAATGGAAGCTCTGGTTTCCATGCAGATTTTTTACCATCAATTCTGTTTCCATTACACTGATAGCAATATCAACAAAGCTACCGGTGGACTTGAGCTCCGACATGTCTTCTGACAATCATGATATTCTAGCAAAGTTTGTCAGCACCATTTTATTGTTCACCATGTTAGCCAACTTTCTTCCATCTGTAGGGCTTATGAATGACAAGGAACTTTTGCTGAATACTGTGGCCTTGTGGATGCTCATACTCACCATTAATGTAAATATGTGGCTCCAAGTTATGTGGAGTTTGGAAATATTAATCCTTTTATTGATTCTTTTAATTGCAATTTCGGTAGCCTTGACAGTTTCAGCGTCTAGAAGAGTTTTACAACAACGGTACAAGGAGTTGCACAGTTTGAATTTAAATCATCAAGAGATTACGTTCTCCAGCAAGGGACTCATACGATATGTTAAAAAGTATTGGATGATGGCGGACACTGGTAACCCCCAATTTGCAATTGCTTGTTCACCTGTGTCTTCTGCTCTTGGGGTTATATGCCCACTCCTAGCTTGCATTTTAGTTCTTAATTTGGTTTTAGGTAGAAAAGTTGTTTGTTGTAAAATACGACGGATCCAAATTGACTTAAATAATATTAGCTCAATGCGGAATGGGATTAAAATTTATCAAAGCGTAATAATCACAACGTAATACGAATAAAATAAATAGAATAGAGACACAGGAATTTACGT